AGGTACTTGGCCATTGGGTATTTCTTCTTCAAAAGGGTCACTCCAAGGAGCATGACTACAGGGAAGAAACAGAGTGGAAAATTCAGGGACCCATAGGCATCGATGAGCCCAACACTCTCCTCCTAGGAGCCAAGCAAAGACTCATGAGAGAAAAGCATGTCTGAGAAGGAAGGCCTAGAAGGGTAAGAGGAGGGCGCAAGGCTGGCACCTGGACTAGAGCAATGACTGAGCAACAGGGTTGGACAGAGAGGATAAGGCAGGAAAAGCTACAGCGCCACGGTGAAAGCTCCAGAAAGGAACAGGCCAAGGGTGGGGGCAGTGGGGACGAGGACAAGGTCGAGAGAAAGAAACTGACCATCAAAATGGGACTTAGGATGTCTAATAGCAATGTAATCACATGGGACACCAAAATGACTGAGCACGTAAAGAGCACTAGGTCAGTCTTTAGCTCCCAGCTTATACACACCAACACCACAGGAAATGAAACAGATGACAGGATGGCAGGGGGAAGGGATGGAGGGAAGTCCCTGGAGATAGCTATGACAAAGCGCGGGGGGATGCAGAGCTGTGGCTGAGAAGGAGAGAGCTTACTATATAGGAAGTGTGAAGATAGAAGATGGGAGACCATCTTCTTCTGCTTACCTGGGATTGGCTTGCAGGATTTACCAAGGACCTGAAATGAAATTCAGCAAATAATTTCTGAGCATCTGTGATGTGCCAGGTACTATGCTAGGTGCTGCGTTAAGATAGAGTAAGTGTGGGGCCTGCACCAGAGACTGCAGCCCCAGAAAGCAGCCGTATCGTGTCCAACCCACCACTGCTAAACCTCAGATATATGGTCTTTCTCACTCTGAATTTCTCAAACACATTCTCTTTTTATTTAAGTCACAGACCTGAGGGAAGAATCCTTAGTCCTCCTGAAACAACTTCTGAGCCAACCCTCATCCCACCCTGAGGTTTCACCTGAGTTGGGTAGTTGACAAACTGTAGTGCTGAGTTGCTGGAGACCATGGCTCCCAGATAGGAAATAGAACAGGCAGCATAGAGCCAGCTCCGAGTACGATCCACCCTGGCAGTGTCAAAAAACTGGATTACTAGGAGAAGACAAAAAAACAAAAAAAAACAAAACACAAACATAAGAGAAACCCGGTGGGCCTAAGATGGAGCAAAAGTCGAAGCCACACGAAAGGAACTTGTCTGTCAAATAAGATAAGAAGCACAAGCTGTTTCTGGTCCTCTTAGACTGAGATATTTGTAGATTATTCAACTCTCCAACCCCACCTAAACCTAACACAAGACCACATGCAGGGCAGGGATGGGGGACTCATTCAGTTCAAGGGACTACTTCGCCCTGCTGCTAGCCCCCAGGGAACAGAGAGAAAACTCAAAACATGCTTGACGCTGACACATAAAGGAAAATCAAAGGGACAAAGAAAAAAAAAACTAAGTAATCTCAATGGGAATCTGGAATATATAATAGAAGACCCATTCTCTCCATGTTTCTAACTCAAGAGTTGGTCTAATTTAAGGAAATAGGTTTTTACCCTGTTCCAAAGCCACGAGTTTTATAGACTAAACAGAGAGACTGTGTAAGCGCTAAAGGGATGGGGGTCTTGAGAGTTAAGACCTTAAGGCTGGATCACTGCCTGATGCCCAGGATACAAAGGGGAGGGGGCACATAACAGATCACTAATTAGGTACTCACAGATCTTGGCAAACACAGCATTGATCACACATTGGATGAAGACCAAAGTTAAGGCAAAAGTGAACGTCTCCTGTTTGGCTCCCTCTCCATACTTTCCTCTTGTTCTAAGAATGAAATGCATGAAAAAGAAAGAGGAGGAATTAGTATATTTCCCTCAGTGTCAGCTAGTAAGTCCAGAGCCACTGCAGGCTTAACATTAGCTTTCCTCTCAGGGTGTAAGGAGAGTTTGGTAAGGCTCACTGGGCTCATTTATAAAAGGGGCCGATTTTATTACATTTAGAAATTAGACATCCCAGTCCGCTAATCCCGTAGCCTAGGACAAGAATATCGGTAAAGGATGGAGCTAGAAGAAACGCAGGAAACTAGATGGTGAAACGAGGTACCAAGGGCAGCAGAAGGGATTTGGGCGACAGCAGCAAGGCCGAGGGCGAACGAGTCAGCTGTCTGCAAGCATCTGGGAGTTCCCAAGAGGAACCGGCACAGGTCACGGAAACCTGTGAGCGGGTATAAGTCAGCCTGTAAAACCCAGGCCCCTAGAACCTACAGGGAAAAAGCAATTGATGGAAGAAAAATCACCAGGTCCCCCAAATCCTGAGACCAACTTTCGCGTTTTGGAGATCTGGGGAGGCTCAGCTGCGCTGCAAAGGTGTCGGGGTACTGGGGGAGCAAGAGGGAACACTGGGGCCAGGGGCGTGAGGACTGCGAACCCGGCCACTGGCTGGGGAGAGGGGGAGGGGGGGAAGGGGGGAGGTCTGCGTTCCAACCCCGGGGATCCGCTCACATCTTTTCCTGTAGGATCCCATAGTAGAAATAGCAGACAAAGACGCCGAGGAAGCAGAGCGGCAGACGCAGCCGGTCGGGCACCAGAGAGTTGCTAGCGGCCATGAGACGCTCGGACGACCCGACCGGAGACCCGCTCACAGCCGGCAGCGGCAGCGGCGGCGACAGTTCCAGGCGGACATCGCCGACCGGCGACAGGGGCCTCATAGGAGCTTCATGCGACCGCAGCTCAGCAGGGCCCAGAAGCCACCGCTAGAACTGCCAGCTCAGGGCCGCCTAGGGGGAAACGCCTCAGAACACAGCAACCACGTCCAAGGAAAGGAGGCCCGCCCTGGAACCTTGGCTTTGTCCCTGGTGACCAGGGCAGCTTGCTGTCCGGAGGTTAATGTCTTGTCCTCGAGATTTTTCCGATCAGGCAACTCCGAGGACAACTGCAACCCGGAGCTCGACGGGACGGCCTAGGGGACACGCAGGCATGGAGTGATGGCGTATAAGGATGTGGAGGTCATCGATTGGCTGCATTATGTAAAGACAGACAGGTGGACCCGGGAGGAGGTGGTACGGACGGCTGGGCAAATCCACTAGGTTTTTTTCCCCGGTCGGCCATCAGGCTCCTGCTGGGTCCTAACGCCAAGAAATCCTTAGTGTGGCGTAGCGCCCCCTAGCTGCTGCCCAGCGTCAGCGACTCTACCCCCGCTACCAGACGAGCGTTCAAGGCCCGCCTGGCTTTGGACAGCGATCGTCCACCTAGGGCACATCACTAGGCTTCCAAGGGTGGCAGGGCTCTTGTCCCAATCACTTAGAGGCAGGGCAACCTATGCGTGTCACCTAATTCCGAGCCAGTTTTCTGTCTGTAAACTAGGGATAATTAGTTAATAGCCACCTTGTCGCCTCTTGACCGTTCTGAGGATCAAATGAGCTGAGATTTGTGAAAGTGTTTTATAAACTGTAAAGTGTGCTGTGCAAGTTTCAAGTATTATTTGTCATTATTCTTTCTCAACCCGGATCTTATTTCCTCACATCCTGGAGGTGGAAATGGAAGCTTACTGCAGTGCATTTTCTTTAGGGTCTTACAAACTCACCAACAATGGAGCAAACCCCAGGCTGCACTCCGCATTCTTTCCTATTAATGAGCTCCTTGTTGGACCCCTCCCCTGCCTTCCCTCATCCAAATGTTGGGCCTCCACCAACTGGCACCAAGAGCTAGGACAAGACTGACCCCAGGTCTTTCCACTACCACCTCAAGTCCCCACTTAATTGCACTCTGAGCTGCTATCTCCCCTTGTAGCAGCCTGCTCCTTTGGCACAGCCTCAGGCAAAGGAAGGAAACTCAGGGCAGCACCACACCCATCACTCCGGGCCTGACTCACCAAGGCTTTGCGGGTAGGCCAAACATCTTCCAGGGGGAGAGAGGGGTATGAGATAGAAGATGGGGTCTGTCCTCAGCTCCCTCTCTCCTTTATGTTAGTGGGGGAGGCGGACCCTTATACATTTGCTCTCTTGCCCAGTGGCTTATTCATTCAATCAGTCTGTGACCCCAGGGCACCAAGCAGCAGCTGGCATGAGAGACCTGGGTTCCAGTCCCAGCCCTGCCTCTTCACCAGCTGGGACTTAAAACAATTCACTTGACCTCTGAGACAAGTTGCCTCATCTGAAATTAATGGGACTGTAACAAGCAGGACAGCTCTGTGGTTAGAAGCATGGGCACTGGATTCAAATGATCTGGTTCCCAATCCCAGCAATCCCGCTTTCTATTTGTGTCTTTGGGATAAAATAATTCAATCTTTCTGTTCTTCCCTCATTAGTACAGTGGGATTTATCACATTTCTCTCATTGGGTTGTTATATCGATGACATTTTATGTAAAGCATCTAACAGGGTATATAATGCTTACCAAGCCAATGAATGGTAGTTGGAATAGGCCTAATTTGTCTTGAGGTCTTTAGAGATAAGATACAATTGTAGTTATTATGACTGTCCTTGGGTTGTCAATTTTTCATCCATACAATACTGATAATGTGTCTTTTGCGAAAATGCTTTGTAAATTGCAAAACACCATCAGAATGTTGAAATGGTTATTCCTATTTCCCCCAAAAGCCTAAGAGCTCTTACATGTGTGGCACTAGAATAACTGAGGTGGCAAAAGGACATGAACAGTTTCTTCTACTAGTCAAGAAGCACCCACGATGTTGAATTGCCTTCCCTTTGTCGCCCTCATTTCCTCTTTGAAATCCACTCTCCCTAGGGAGCTTTTCACCCAAGAATACATGACTCCTTCACCCCACCTCCACCATACTCTTCAACCTGGACAGTCTTTCCATGGGTCCACTGTTTATATGTCCATGTACAAAATCCAAGCCTGCTGGCTTGAGGACAGGGACTCTGTTCATCCACATCATTATATGTTAAGTAAAGACTCTTCTTGAAGACAAGGATGAAGTGATCAATATAATACCCTCAATCTCCATCCTGTTCCCCCCCACCCCCGCAAAAAAAGAAAAATATTGAAGAAAACATCAAGCTGCTGGGAATATTTATTTATTTGGTCTATTAACACCAAGATCTGCAAAAAACAATTTCTAAACACAGGATAAGAAAACTTGAACATTAACATTCTTCTTCAATTTTGTGAAGCTCTGCAGTACGGAAAATATACAAACTTCAAACAGCTGCAAAAATAGTGTCTTTGGGAGAAAATAGAGTTTCTACATCGATACAAGAAAAATAGGCATTTTTCTAATCCAACCCAGTTCTGGGGCAGGTGGAGGGTGTGGTGTCACCACTTGCCACCTGGAGGAATGCCAGCTCTCCCTCTGCCCCGCTACCCACCTGGGGCTGGGCAGGCTGGGCTGCTGCTTAAGACAATCTTTGTCAGGGTGAAAGCGAGATGAAAATGCCACTTGGAAAAACACGAGGTTCCCCCCTCTGCCAGCAGCTGGATTAGTCAAGTGTTATGGCCCTTTAGGGCTGCTTTGGTCAGCTCCTCCAATGAGAGGGAGGCATGGGGGTGGGGCTGAGAGGATGGGGGTATCTATCTTCAGGTCTCCACTTCTGTGTCTGTGGAGGAGAGGGAAGGAAATCTGTGGTGTCCCCCCTACTCCAATCGCGGCCAGCTTGTTGACAAGGACAAGGGCCCCAACTACAGTCTTTTGGGCTCACTCCCAGGAGTGGGGGACCCAAGACCTTCTAGGTGGGTTTTCCATCAAGTGAGAGGTGTCAAGAACACAGGTGTGACTTGTGAGCTCCCCAGCTGCTAGTGGAGAAGGCAGGTCCCCTCCCATTCGGAGGGGCTGGTGTCCATTAGAAAGAGGACCCAGGGCTTTGACACAATAAATGAAAGTGCTCGAAGGCCGAGAGGGAAGGTCTCCTTCATCTCCCACCTCAGGGGAGCCAGGGAGGGGCCTGCCACCAAGGCACTGGTCTCCATGATAAAGTGGTAGGTAGGGGTGGGGCCCTCAGACCACCAGGGAGCTCTGGAAAAGCACGGGCTCTTCTGATGGTGGGGTGCGCTGCCAGGGCTCGAATGGCAGCGAGGAAGCCTTGGAGGCCTCTGGATCCTTCCGAGATGGTGGCCTGGGGCTGGCGGGGGGCAGAGGGGACCCCGGGTTTGAGGGGCAGTTACGGAAGATGAAGCCCATGCTGGGGAACAGGGGCTTCATCAAGCTGACGGGGCAGAAGGCCGAGCCGGTTGGGTTGAAATGGACTTTGTTCTTGTCAGGACAGGACGTCAGGAAAGCCAGGTCAGGACCTGGGGAC